CGCTTATCTAGCCCCGACTCCTCGGATAGCTAGTACGCCATGCGTATGAAGCCTGAGTCGACTCTGATGAGTTGACTCGAGTATGTTGACTCCGTTGACTTGTTGATTTTGACCAAGGATATTTTTGGAGAAATGTTATTAATTTAGAATGAAAATGTTTAGACATTTAGGATTTGGGTTGCTCCGGTATTTGGGAGAAAAGTATTGATCAAATATTCATCACACTATGAGTTGAGTTTTCCTCACTGTACTTACGGGTCGAAGGCACCAAGGCCGGCCCATTGGATTGCTATCTTGGTTTTAACGTATGTTGTTATGTTGTGGTGATATGTTAGATCTGTATCCTAGAATATAGGATGTTGTTATGTGGTAGTGATCTATTAGATGTGTATCCTGGTATATAGGACGTTGCTATGTTGTAGTGATCTGTTAGATCTATATGACCACCTGTATATGCTAGCTATTGATTGTTATGGTATATGTTGATATGTGATGGTGTACCGGGTTGAGGCGGTCCTGCTTTGCGGTCCAGATAGACTGAAGGCCTGCGAGGCAGACCAGTCAGGTCGAGGGCTCGGAGAGCAGTCCGGATAGGCTGAAGGTCCGGTGAGGTTGTCCAGTCATGCTGATGGCTCTCTATGCATGTTGTTGTTTGTTAAGTTTATGTGGTGGTAATTTGGAGGAACTCACTAAGCGTTGACTTATAATTTTAGTTTTTTTCAGGTACTTTAGAGGACCGTGGCAAGGTGAAGGCGTGACCGTACACATCCTTGGTTTATGCTGATTGGATATTGGGACACTCTGATTTTAAATATGTTTTGGAAACAATGGTTTTGTAAACACTTCTTTTAGTAAATGGGTTGTTTTGAAAAGTTTAAATTTGTTGTGATTTTTGAGACGTTACAGAATCGGTCTACCACATAGACTATATATATGATTTCCTATCTCATTCAACGATCAATGCCGCTCCCTCTTTATCTCACTACAAAACTCCCCCCCCCCCCCCCCCCCCCCCCCCCCCCCCGTCGTCGCGCTTTCTGTCAGTCTCTATCACCACCTTTTCTTGACGCCGTCATCAACCTTCTATACCACTCACAACCTCTTAGGTACATTGAGTCTCACTTTCTATCTCTTCAACAGTGTGAATGTTTAATTATGTATATATGAATCGGTTTATGCTGACGCAATCGGAGCACCACCACCCATTCACTACCATCTCAATTAAATACCCCAACAGGACGACATCCCTCTATTCCCTCATGAAAACCCATCTGGAGACAGATGTGAAATTCATCACGCCCTCGTCATCAGCCAAAACTTTGTTCTCTACACTAGTCTAAAAAACCTAAAACCACGATAAAAGTCCATAGACGCACACCCATCATAGCTAACCATCAACGAAAAACCCAAAGAAACCTTCCTTTTTATCAATGAGCTACAAATCCCAAACCTCTTGCGTTTGTTTTTGTTTTTGTTTTTTTTTTTGTAATTTTTATAGGTTGCACCGTTGCAGTTCATAAATGAACTTATTCTCGAGATTAAGCAACATTTTGCTTGGTAGGCATTAGTAGATTTAATTTTTTGCTTTTTTCATCTCATATTTGCTCTAAATGTATTTGTTTTTTTTTCTATTCATCCCTAATTTGCTAAAAAAAATTCAATTTTTTTTGTTATCTTAGATTTGTTCATAACAGAAATGGATGGTCAAATTCTCAAAGTTTTTGTTTTTGTTATCTTAGATTTGTTCATAACAGAAATGGATGGTCAAATTCTCAAAGTGTGTTTCTTTATTTTCTTTATTTTTGACTTTGATGAGTTTTTTTTGTTGTCAAAATGGCTAAAAAAAATGAACTTCTACCCTTTTTAACGGTGAAAAAGGGTAAAACTTGACTTTGGTCGTGTTTAATGCTAAAAAGGTTGACCTCGATTGTTTTTTGTGTCAAAAAGGTTAAGAATTTAAGCTTAATTGTTTAGGTAACTAGAAAAGTATTTATGCTCAATTAAATTTATTAATTACATAGAGACGAGTCAAGATAACACAAGACAAGATTCTAATGAAATCTTCTATTTTTAAAAAAAAATTAAAAGATCCTACTATCTAACTTTGTCAATGCATTGTGTGTTATTTTGGAAATGACATTATCTAAAAGTAAATTATTTATAGAAATAAAATTATTCAAAATAAGTAAATTGGTCGACACTACAAAAAAGAAACCGGTCACTACAAAAAAGAAATCAAATCACCGAAAGGGAAACTGGTCCGTCGACACTACGAAAAAGAAAGCGATCCATTGAAAAAAATGTTAAATTGAAAGTAATGCTTACTGATACTTACCAATACATTGTGTCTTATTTTTAATATGACATGTTTTCTAAAGAAAACTTATCGTTGAATATAAACTAATCATTGTCCATCTGAACATGACATGTTCGCATTAAAGCTAAAGAGAAAATAGTTTTCCAATTCAATTATGTTTCACAATGACAATCAATAAAGCTCAAATACAAACAATTCCAAATGTATATATTTATCTTTCAAACTCGGTTTCCTCGCATGTCCAGCTTTATGTGACATTATCCAAAGAGATATTTCGTGTCAACACAAAAGTATTAATGAAGCCCGACAAACAATTCAATGGCAGTGGAGTCTATACATCAAATGTGGATGTATAAAGAAGTGTTGCACGATTAATAATGCACAATCATTCATGTGTTCACGTGTATTTGTAAAGAATCTAAATTTTTTATTTTTAATTGTTATTGATTTCGTTTCTGCTAGTATGATTGTTATTGATAACTGTTTAGATGTTGTAAACTATTTACCCAAAAGAACTAATCGCATGTAGAAACTAATTTATGAAAAAACTGTTCTTACCTGTTGCTTGGTGCAAGTAAATGGCTAATATATATATATATATATATATATATATATATATATATATATATATATATATATATATATATATATGTGTGTGTGTGTGTGTGTGTCTATAACGACGACATTTTGAAAAATAATTAATTTTGATTCACCTACAAAAGATACAATAATTATATATCTATATTTTATATGAGATAAATAAAATACCCTCCTACTTTTTCTTCTGATTCATCCTTCTACCAATGACAAGTGTAATAAAAATGTATTAATTATATTTAATATGACAAATATGATAACTTTAAGTGTGTAGAAGATGATATAAATAAAAAAAATAGTACAATATTTGATTTCTATATATATGAATAAATTAATTTGTTAAGTAGAAAAGTCACTTCCTAAGAGTTGAGATAGACCAAAAGGTTTCTAGCCTAATGGTAACAGATGGTGCGTTTACTTTTGGAGGTTGAAGGTTCAACTCTTTTCGTGGATATAAGTTAAATTAGGTGTTAGATTAGAAATAGATTAGATTTGATGGTAAAAAAAAAGTTTGAGAAAGAATTAAAGTTCCTTGATTTGGTAACGTACATTTAGATCATATTCCATTTAATTCTACAAACCAAACAAATGACTAAAATTTTGGCCTACCTACGATTGTTATGTAATTCATGCACTTTCGGTTTTCTAAGACCTTTGTTTGCACGGTTCAATGAATTTGTTTTTGTACTTTATTTTTGTGGGCCTCTTCCTCTCATGGAGTCATGGTCGTTGAGGTTGGTTTATCAATAATTCGTTCTTCTTTAAATCTTAATCCCTGATCATGATCATTAGAGTTTCATTTAGAAAGAGATTAAGGGATAACACATGTAATTAGTGTTATTGTTGTTCTAAATAAAGAAATGTATTTATTTAGCCATGTGCCATAAATGACCTTCAATTAACGATATCTTGCGAGATGGATATTGCAATCTTTGCATATCATACATGGTCTTTTTCTTTGTGTTACTATTACTTCATATTGGATTTGTGAAACTATAAGATATTAAATATTTTGAAAATCAAACTAGAAATTTAGTTTATTTTAATGAATAACCCACACCCCTAAATCTACACTTTCGTTCCATTCAAGACTTAGAATGATTTGTAACTATTATAGAAATTAGTTAGGCAAATAAGCGACATTTTCATATGACAAACTTATTTTTGTTACATCTTTATATACAATACTATAAATGTCACAAGATTTGACTCGTAACGTTCCTCATGACTTATAATCAATACAATCTCCACTTTGAAAACAAGCGACTATATGCTTTTATTGCAACTAAACCCGTGTTTCCGTTATACTGATCTACGTGCACGTGGGTGGTTGCACTACGTATTGCCGATAATATAGAAAAATCATAATATCGACAAAGAAAAAGTTGTCACATGCACCCATCATTTTGTTTTATATCTTTTCACCAGCTGACTAGTTGCGTTTTAATATAAATCATTCGGTTGTTCAAAAAGAAACGTTATCGTGGGCGATCAAGCGAGTGGGAGATCCAAAGTCTTTCAAACTATGCAATAACATTACAAAAAAAATATACATAAATACAAATGTCTTAACCTTTAACAAAGATATTTTATTGACAAATGAAATGTGTTTACAATTAGCTCTTCAAGTATAAGAGGGAAATTCCACAAAAGGGCAAGTAGACAGGGGCGGAGCTACTATGTAGCCCGGGATACCCCTCCAATTTTTCCGTCAAATGTAAATTTCGTGTTTTTTTTTTTCAAATATCCGTCACAAATCCATTGGAAATCCGTCACCATCCGTCAGTAATCCGTCAACAATCCATCACAAACTCTGATAATTATAAATTTAGTATAAATGCACTGGTTTACTGACGATTTTGTGACGGAAACTTCATTCGGTAACAAAAAAATTTCTAATAGTGCAACCCCTAAAGAGTTTGTACAACCCCTGATTTTTCTTTCTGGATCCGCCACTGGAGATAGATATGAAAAAGAAATAAAAAGTAACATATTCCTTCTTTTCACGTCAACTATATGCTCAAGAAAATAACAATATTATACCCCTTTTGGCTATTGATAATATATCAAAATATTTCCATGTGTGCTAAACATAAGCAAGGGTAAAACGGTAACTTCCACACTCTAAAGATGTAGATCCGGACTTTTTTGTCCAGATTTTGTTCATCTGTGTACTATAACAGTAACGATGGTTCAAAATATCGATTATGTTATTTTTAACTCAAGACTACAAGATTTTTTTTTTTCAAAACGTCCAAGTCTATTGTCAGACAATCTTGAATTAAAAGCTGATTTTTTATATTCGAACCAAGTGAATTCTTTGTACAAGCTAGCCTCTTCTCTTTCCATAAGTGAAGGCAATGGTGCTATCTTCTCACTCAAAGGTGGTCCTCCAAAATAAATCATTGACATCCTACTTTTCAAGCTATTTGCCACCACTCTATGCTTCACACTCTTGAATCTTCCATTTGTCATTACCTACATCAATCATTTATAACCCATAAAATAAAACAGATGTTGTAGATAATAATAATAATAATAATAATAATTAAAAAAAATAATACGCTATCTTTATCATACCTACATGGCTACACGTATTTTATTATGGTTTTTCATATGGTAAATTGACATGATGGATGGAGGTTTCCGAAGAGACTTGTAAGATTTTTTAATCAGATTTTTAACTTAAATTGTACAATAAATAAAACTAGAAAGGTCTTTATTGTACTTGGAAAACGATTGATTACGACTTCAAATCATATGCCATGCAAGATTGACCGACAAATCGTGAACTTTTACAGAGGTCGCTATATGTGTACCTGTAACGAATCTCCAACATTTATGAAGAAGGAGTTTGAATCAGGAGGAACAGACATCCAACTCCCATCTCTCAATGAAATTTCTAAACCCGAAGTGTTGTTGGATCGCAAAACCGAAATGATTTGTGGGTCTGTGTGTTCTCCAAATCCAATCAGTTTTCTTCCTTTCGGTTCGTGTTCTTGAAGCTCCTGGGCATGGCGGATAGTAATTCAACCTGAAAACAGAGTCGCTTTCTTCATCCATTAACAGTTTGCTAAATACATTTCGTTGCTGCAGTTTTAATTCATCTGCTAGTAATTCAAGAATATCACAAGCCATCTTCTTCACTTCTGTCACGTAATCATTCACAAGACTTCTACAGAAACAAATTAAACCCAGATTTTAGACAGAGATAGAGAAAAAATGAGCTCGAATATTACACATTTTTAATGGATTCTTACTGGAATTTTTCTGGGTGTTCTTCAGAAATGGAGAGAGTTGGATTTTTGTGATCGGAATCGAGTTTGGCGTTGAGAAGAAGATATTCAACCCAACCAAAATCACCGTTTTGGCCAAGACGTTTGTTCCCATAACCGAAGGGATTGGGTGGGCCTGCTTTTTGTTTGAGAGAAAGAGGAGAGGAGAAGAACTTAACGGCTTCTGATTCAAGTTTACTGATAAATTTCATTGGAACGCCATGATTGACAACCTTGAAGAATCCAAAATCTTGACAGGCTTTAACGAGGAGCTGTTTTGATTCAGATTTGGAGAGGTCAATCAGGGGAATAGTTGGAATACATGGGGAGTTGTTGTTTGGTTTGCAGGGCTTGACGAAGAGCTGTTCGAGTGGGGGTTTGGAAATGGCCACCATTGTTGAAGCTTGAAAAAGCAGAAAATATACGGCTTAAAGAAATGATTTGGGGCAGTTCTTCAATTGGATAATGGGAGTTGTGTTGATGTGTTTGAAGCAAAAAAAAAAAGGAGGGATACGAACACAGAAGTTGGTTCTAGCTTTGCTATTTGAAGGGGAGAGAGAGAGAGAGAGAGAGAGAGAGAGAGAGAGAGAGATATTAAATGCGGTCAAATAATAAAAAATGTCCAATTTTATAACATCTTATGCTCATTTTCGATTTTTTGGTATAAAGTGTAATGAATGAATACTTTGTGTAGTATGTGGAATGTTATCTTGATTTAAAAAATGACACTTATTTATCAAATAAATCCAAAATGACTTTGCTTTTGTAAGTTTTTTAATTCTTTGGTTAGTAAGTTTACCCAGATCGGTCAAACAAGTAAATACCGACCCGGGTACACTCACATTAAAATTATCTTATGGGAATGTTCGTTTGATATCTAAAAACTGCTCAGCATGCGGATCTAGAATTTAAGAATAACATGTGCTCAAAGCCTCATTATATTAAAATATAATGTTCTAGCCGAAAAATGAATGTAGTGTAAAATGTTAAAATAAAATTTCAAAATAAAAATTGTTTCTATTAATCCCAGTCTTCAAAAGTTTTCAACTAATTATGAATATTAGCTGGTATTCATTTGTTAAAACACCTGCAATTTTAAGTCACACATCTTTTATTAGTTTGAAAAAGAAATCAATAGTTTTTTTCTTGCTCATAATTTACTTATGATTATAATATACTAATTAACTAAATTATCAAACAATAAATAAATTATTAATGACAAGTAACAATAAATAAAGTATACAAAAGATTTAAAATTTACCTTAAAATTGAAATCATGATGATGTACCAATGTAGCCGGAACCGATTTTTTAATTGCTAATTAACCTCTTTGAATAAAAATAGCTACAGATTGCCTTGATGAATAGTCAAAACAAACACTATTTATGAACAACTAGGGATTATAATTAAATAGCTACTGACGAATTGACATAATTGAGAGTATAAATTAATGGTTAAATAAAATAAAATAGATAGGGATGGAGGCGGTTGTATTTAGAAGCGGGCCTCAACTTTTTTAGTGATAATTCTCTTATACCCTCGTTGCTTTTTATGCATAGTAATTGTTTTCATTTAAAATAATTGAGGGAGACTGAACATTGTTAAGTAAACGATGTTGGTTAAAAGTTTAAGCATTAGTCGAATTTATTTATAATACAACTAAAGTTTGGAAAAAGATTAAGGGGGCAAGACATCCGACAACCCCCTGTTGCCTCCGCCTCTAGGACGCAACGACCAAGATTATTCTTCACAAACAACTAACCATGGGTGGATAGCAATATATGCCAAACAAACCTCAGAACGAACATATCTAGGAAAAAGTGCAACGTACATATGCTCAAAGTAAATAAACATAGGAAAGTATGAAGCAAACAACTGTTCTTACCCGGGTTATGCAAGGAATCGGATAAGAGGTTGATCCAACTTCTTCTATGAAGTCTATAAAAGCGAGTTCGGCCAGAGAAAATGTAAGATTTTTCTTCCTAATTAAGCAACACACATACCAGTAATCTAACTCAAGAATCGGATAGCCATATTGGGGCAACACCCATATATTGCTTCCTGACCTAGTCTCAGTTTATTTTGCAGTGTGACTTCTCGCATGAGCCTTGGAGGAGAAATTTTCCCGAACATTGCAAGACGCCTGAGAAGCAACATAGCATCATTGGCGTCATCTGTATCATCGCACTAAACAATGCATCCACACAATCAGCAAGTAAGCTTTAGGAGAAATACGCAACATAATAGAATGAATAACATGACAAGAATTGTCAAAAACCTACCTACCAAAAGTCACAAATCAACACCAATCCTTAACATCACAACAACGCAAATAGAGCTGACACTGGAAATATAGATTCCCAAACTATTAACGAGGAGCAGGACAATACAAAACAACATAACAATAAAAAATACCCTGTATAGGAAATAACAAAATTACATTGAATGAACTATTCACCAAGCAACAAACCCAACCAGAGCATATGCATCCACCGAATATATTGTGATAGTGGTAGCTCGACATACATCATGTACGTGCACTGCTTTTCCAAACTACCGGAAGTCATGAGAAAGGAAATGAAAGAACTTGAATCACATTTAACAAGATTCTCAGGACATTCGGTATGACCATCAGGGATAATATCACTACAGCTAACTTTACATGACCACCGGAAACTTGCAAGTAACACAAAAATGATAGACTTTACCATCATACAATCCCTATCGTGGTATAGAGTAATTTTCGGTAGAAGTGCAATGAAAAAGTTTGAAGTAACTACATCCATTATACATGACATGGTTAGATTCTAGACATAGGTAGGATACATAACCATATACAATGAACCACTAGTAATACCAACATTAATCTTACTAGCAGAAACGAGCACTCCAGAGCCAGACAAGCAACAAACTCAATGGACCGAGCAAAAACTTATTACGATCAACAACACTTACCCGGGACAAGGAATCCGTATTGGATCCACGTTACCGAGTACACTTCATGAAAGCATGGTCCACATTTTGAGAGAATACATGGACATGTTGCATTGCAGCCAACAGATACCGTGGGAATACCAAGGTAGGTGATGGAACATAAAACCAATTACAAGTTGACAGCAAGGCCAATTCGGCATAAGAATAGAGGTCGATATGAAGAACAAAACAAAGAAATAAATAGTGACGTGGATAAGTTAGTAAAAGCATGAATAGTTCGAGGGTTCTTATTCCCATCTTAGGTTGGAAACATGTTGCTAGTAAAAAAAGATGATGCTCAATGGAGAATGTGCGTCGACTTAACGAATCTAAACAAAGGATGCCGGAAATATTGTTGCCCATTACTAGAAATAGATGAAAAGCTTGAATCGTTAAGCGGACACAAGTGGAAAAGCCTCTTAGGCGCATACAAAGGATATATGCAGATTCATATGCATAAAGGAAACGATGTAAAGACATCCTTCCATAAATACAAAGGAAATTTTGTTATACAAAAATGTCATTTGGCCTTAAGAATGTCGGAGCAACATATCAAAGGCTAGTAGATAAAGAACATATATGGTATTTAGATAGCGGCGACTAAAGGCATATGACCAGATTCAATTCTCTTATGGAATATTTCATAAAGAAGGATGGTCCTACTGTTACATATGGAGATAATGGCAAGGGAGCTACAAAAGGATATGGATCCATCAAGTGCAAGTATGTTGTGTTTAAAAATTTCTCTTATGTGAAGGTTCTTTAGCATAATCTCATTTCAATCAGCCAACTGTGTGACGCTGGCTATGAAGTTCTCTTCAACAAGAGAGAAGGAAAGGTTATTGATCAAAAGAATGTCATTGTTCTGACTGCAAATCGACATAATGACATTTATGTTTTGGATATGTTTTCTATTGACAACTCTCTTCGTCGCTGCTTCTTCTCTTGTGCTCAGTCTCATCTAAATTTGTTGTGGCACAAGTGGTTATCTCATTTGAATTTCAAGAACATATCAATGATCTCAGGGAATCATATTGTAAGAGGACTTCCTAAGATGCAATTTTTCAAAGTTAAACTGTGCTCAACGTGTGAAAAAGGAAAGAAAACCAAGTCTTCCTTCAAGCCAAGGTCCTGCTCTTCCATTATCAAACCTCTTCATCTTCTCTACATGGATCTTTTTGGACCAGTCCCAATTAAGTCAAGAGTTGGGAAGAAGTACAGTCTCATTATTGTGGATGAATTTTCAATATTCACATTGGTAGTCTTTTTAAGAAAGAAAATTCATGTTGCCGATGAAATCATTTTTCTCATCAAGCAATAGGAAGTTCTCTATGATCATAAAGCAAGGCATTTACGTAGTGATCATGGAACTAAATTTAGAAACTCCTTCCTGGAAGATTTTTGCTCAATTTCAGGAATTTCTGAAAACTTTTCTGCTATTAGAACTCCCCAACAATTTGGTATTGCAGAGAGAATAAACAAAACTCTCATTGAAGCTAGAAAACTATGGTCGTTGAAGCTGGTCTTTCCTTGTCATTTTGGGCTGAAGCTGTCAACACAACGTGTTATACCCAAAACTGTTCTATTATTGTTAAGTGTCATGGGAAAACTACTTATGAACTACTCAAGGGTAGGAAACTAGACCTCTCTTATTTTCATATGTTTGGGTGTGTTTGTTACATCTTGAATCAAAGAGATTACCGCTCTAAGCTGATGAATGAGTGTTTCTAGGTTATTCCAATGTATCCATGGCTTTCAGGGTATTCAATGTTTCAAGGCAAACTGTTGAGGAAACAGCTCATGTCACTTTCGATGAAGACTCATTGATTCATGATCCCGTTGATCATACCTCATAAATTCTAAATGAACTTACTTACAGTCCTTCATAAACATTTCTTGATTTCTTGCCTGATGAAACTGATCCTGTTGTTCCAAATGTTGATCAAATCATCAACTCACAACCTATCTCTGAAGATTAGCCTGTCCTCTCTGAAGAAGTTCAGCCATCTAATCAGGAAAAATCTGCTTAAGGTAATATAAATGAAAGTTCTAATCCAAGAATTCTTCGAGATCATCCTGAATCTCAAATCACTGGAGATGTAAATTTTGGGAGTCTCACTCGTAGCAGAGTCAGCAACAACTTCTGCATTTTTGTAAATTTTGTCTCGATGATTGAACAAAAAAATGTCGCTGACGCCCTACAAGAAGCTGACTGGATCATCGCTATGGAGCATGAGCTGAATTAATTTAAACATCATCGTGTGTGGACTTTTGTTACCAATCCTCAAGGAAAAACTATCATTGACACTCACTGGGTATTTAGGAACAAGATGGATGAAGATGGAATCGTCATAAGAAACAAAGCTAGACTTGTGGCTCAAGGTTTCTGTTAGTTGGAAGGGTTAGACTATGATGAGACATTTGCTCCTGTTGTTAGTGATGGGTTTTAGTATAATACAACATCCTATGGTGCACATACAACCCTAAATACCTTGGATCTATGTTTTCACTAATTATACATGCAAATGGTTTCCAAG